ACCAGGCGCCAAAGATCTTGATCGCCACTGTCTTCCTGAAGCTTACGTAAGCGCCAACTGTTTTTCCATCGCTATCTCTCATGTCTTATTGGACACGTAGTGAACCTATACGGATCGTTTTGTTATTATGTTGTTCCTGGTCTTCGTAACAGAAAAAAAGCTTTTCTCTTTGATTACTGGACCAATAGCTTTAAAATCCTCAGTGCTTAGAGATTAAATTTTCCGCTAGAAGGCTATTATTCATTCAAATATTCCAGTGAGCTGTATGGGATTCTTTTTTGTGTGTGCTATGACGACACCAAAATATGCCACCATGTGTCGGTTCAGCGAACGCATAGGAGCTCTTCGTGTCTATATATTTGAGCGTAGCTCTCTTGTTTGATCGTCAGATCATCACAGACGTTCCTAATTGCCACCTGTCATTTTAATACTAATTTCCACTATTACTTGAGCGCCAACTTCGTCAATTAAGCGCCAACCGCGGTACTTATGCGCCAAAAACCTTAATTAAACGTAAACATCCTCACACAATTGCAAAATCCTTGCCTGGTCAACTGGCTTAATTATCTCCCAACGCTTTTTCACCTGCCCAAATTATGCGCCAACAGCCTTACTTGAGCGCCAATTGGCCTAGTTTGAAGTCCACAGTTTCCTAATTGCCAAAAACGTTATACTCCATCTGTTTTACATATGCACTAGCTGACTTGTTCATGAGCCAAATGTCTTATTTACGTGTCAGGAGTTTCACTTTATCGTAAACTGTTTTACATATGCACCAACTGTTATACATGTGCGACGAAAGCCTTACGCATGCTCTTATATCAGTGTTTCCCAACCCGAGTCCGCGGTCTCAAATGAGTCTGCGGAGTGTTTGATTGAGTCCTCAACGAGAGATACTGTTTTAGAAAAGTTTTGCAGTGTTATAATTTATGTAGACCACTGAATCTTTTAGTGTCGCGGGCCATTTTCACATTTATAAATTCATTGCGGGTCGCAAACGTTTTTACCGAACTCAAGCATCAGCGATAACTGCGAAATGACCATATGGTCTGCTTGTCAGCTGCAACCCTAAAAATGCTTAAAACTTAAATATAAAATTTGTAAAGCGCGAAACGTTATCATGCGATAACAGCATCGCCCCAAGATGACGTTGCAAGGCAATCCCACACCTTGTTATTTATAGAATTAGGGAATTCCCCCTATTTTATTTCGAAGCATTTGGTTAACGTTTTTGGAAAAGTTAAACAATATATATTAGGTTTAGTATTAGTACGATACCAAAAAAATACCAGTACTGAAACTGGTAGCAACGCGAAAAGATATCTTCATGACAGTAAAAATACCTCAATGAACATGTAAGGTACATTTAATTGTATTGTAACATGAAAAAATAGTACAGATCAACAATCATGTCTAGGAAACTTTGGTCTTGGAAAATGCAGTATACATTTATTAAGAATATAAGGATAGTAAATGGTTGCTCAACTGAGTTTTGAAATTTGGATATGTTGAGTCTTTAATACTAGAAGGTAAGTCATTCCAAATTTTTACCTCGGTATATCTCAGAGTACTTTGTGTCCGTTTTGATTTACATCTTGGAACAAAAAAAGTCTTTGAATTTGAGAATTTTTAGTTCAGCAAACATATGGGTGCAACTAGAACGAGGTGGAGAATTATATAATATTCTTACAGCTTTACTTTGTAGAACTTCTATTCTTTTAGACAATTTGCTAGTAACTGAGTATCCCCATGCCACCAAACCATACTGAATATGAGACTGGAAGAGGGCAAAGTATATCATACGCAGAACTTGAGAAGGGAGGAGTTTACGAACTTTACTTAAAATTCCTACAGCATGTGATAATTTCCTTAAAAATTCTGAAATATGTGGCCTAGGTATTTATAATATTCTACTCTTTCAAGAAGTTGATTGTCAATTGTGGCCTGAAAAATTGGAGATGTGGATGAATTCTAATAGATTAATTTCAACAGATACGCAGTAACGACATTTCAACAAGTTTTATTTTAAAGGGAAAATAGCATAGACTCGATAGAAAAATACAAACAGAAAAAGACAAGCAAACTCCGGAGGAAGTCATAAAAATATTGTTCATTTTTTATTTTTACGATAGCGATAAGGACAATCAAATTAGACACGAAATATATTAATCAGAATTGAATTAGGAATTTGGGCTGTAAATTCGTCGCTAGTAGTTGCATAATATCTTTTGAGTTTGGCAGAACGAGCAATTCTTGATGATCACCAGGTCCCGAGACTTTATAGATATATGTAATAAGGTGCAATCTCGAATCATACGTTAGCGGCGGAAATTTTCATTTCAAGGCTGACTGAGATAAAATGGAATCCATATATCTCTTTCTTGCAAAAAGGCGCTTAAATGAACACTAAAAACTTTCGATAGATAGACAAGTGGTGTTTCTCGCGCGTTTGAACGACAAGAAATATTTTTTCTTGAAGATGTAAATAGTAGCTCAGATTCGTGGGACGCTTCGGGGATAAACGGACTCGGTTAAAATTCTGTTGTGTTTGGTTTTATTGCTTCTTCACATAATGTTCGGTTACATTTGAGTTCGCAAAGATTTTCGCTCGTGGAAAAATAGTCAGCGAACAAAAAAGGTTGGGAAACGCTGCTTTATATATTCGTGCGCCAGAAGTATTGCATATACGTAACCCACTTATACGCCATCTGACTTACTCGAGCGCCATAACTTTATCTATGTACCAAAAGCCTTACGACCCAGCTGTCCTAACTATGCACCAGCTGATTATCTTATGTGCCAACGGTTTTATTTGCGCGTCAAGAGTTTCACTCAATCGCGAACTGTTTTATATATGAACCAACCGTCACACATACCAACTGACATATATACATGTGCGCCGAAAGTTTTACTCATGCAACAACTTTTTTACTTAAGCTGCAAACTTTTTGGATTATGTTGCATTTGAGTGGACAAGCCACGCAGCAAATTTATTATTTCCCTGGCCAGAATTCAAAACTAAATTGTCAATTTAATTTCACTGTCTGCTGATTGTGAAATCATTTCTTGAAAGACTTCTGTTATGATAGCTTTAGACACGTCAAGTGCTGAATGGTATATTTTTGATGACGCTACACAATTCCCAGATATCCGGTTTTCATTCGCTTCTCCAATAACTGACTCACTGGTTCATAACAAAAACAAAGCAACCCACAAATGATCGAATTAATGTTTATTATCATGTTTGGTTATATACAGAAATCACATGGAGACAGCTATGAATTTATTTACTGAGCAAAAGGTTACAATAGACAAGGCGACCAAATCAAGGCGCGGGTTATATAATAGTGAAGGTATAATACAAACAAGTAATAATAATAGAAGCAAGAGTTCTCTGTTAAAACAAATGTGTGGCATTATATTTGGTATAATTCTAATAACAGGACGAGTTCATGTGATCAATTCAATAAAATATGCGGTTAATAGAAGTAAAGTAATAATATATAAGTAAGCAGAGGTGGAATCCGAGGGTTCGATTTTTCTTTGTTTCGAGTCAGCATGATTCTCTTAAATGGGAGAACCCGTTGTTTGCGAGTTCGATTCAAAAGATAACTCGTTCTTAGATTTTTATATCCCGCCACTGAAAGTAAGTAATAATAAGTGAAGCAAGTTTCATTTAGTAAGACGAGCATACTTGTGTGGCCTTTGTCTAATCATAATCACAGACCAACTTCAGTGTGGAATAAAAATGCACAAATAAAAATATCAGTAATTCAACTTTAATAAACACATAATTCAGTCTTCTCTCATAAATAAAATCAGGTTTTAACGCTTGAAAACAGATTTCGAAAAATATGCAATTTAAATAAAATTGAAGAGAAATTTAAGATTATGGACCGTTTATAAGGTATTCATAATCAGACATGGACCTATGATAAATAGAACATTTGAGAATTGATAGTTCATTGAGTGGTCCACAACCTTTAATGACTTGTGGCCCCTTTCGGAGGCTTTTAGCACTCATGGCCCCCACTTTAATATTGCAGTGGTATTTATGAAGTTATTTTTATTGATAGATCCCAAATCCCTATTATGTTCAAACAATTTGCGCATAAGAAAGCGAAAAAACCCTGTGAAATAACCTTGTTGAGCAGTAAACTAGGAAAAACTGGGAGATTTATTGTAAAGTGAAATCAGATTTGGGCCCAGCATTGTGGCCCCCTCCAACTGCTCTGTGGCCCCCTTATGGAGCCGAGGGCCTCCGGTTGAGAACCGCTGGTTTATATAATCATCGGCCATAGAAAAGCGAACAAAAATTATAAAAAAGGCATTTAACTGTTTTTGTCTTTTACGTCATTGAATCCGTCAACGAAGTTCTGTCAGGTTTTGATCTGGTTTTATATTTCACAGATGACACCGTGGAATGACCAGGATGGTGGATAATTAAACATTCCCTGATATGCATCCTCCGGATCTTTTCTAATCTGAACACCAACATTTGTCCTGGATGCACCGGGTCCCGGAAAATTATGATGCAACACTTCTGTTGATATAGTGATTGGTCTTCCATTTGACAACAAAAGCTGATTGTTCTGTCACAATTGAATAAACAGTTTTAATATCTGTTGCTTGAAATGTTACTGCGACTGACATATTAGATGAAGAATGAAAATATTTGCGTGTAGGAAAAGACTCCGTAGTAAAGGTAATAGGGGGTAACGTTACATAAAAATGGGTAAAAAGCAGAACTTAATGGATTAAAAATATTAATGAAATTAAAAAAACGCGATTGGACAACTCGGATATGACGTCATAATATCTTGGAAATCATGTTTAATATTTTTAGTTTTTATTTTAATCTACCAAATTAACAATAAGGCGTCGTTTACCTGCCCATCATTTGTTACTTTTAATAATAAACCGCTTTTGGCAAATTGTACCCAAGATGAAGATTACGAAAAAGAGTCAAACTCTGCTGAGATTGTGATCCATCAACTGACCTTATACTCCATCCCAGTCCAGATTTCAATATATGTCCTACCAGCAGGAATCACTGAACGTAGATAAGGAAGCAGCAGCTGGTAATGCTTGAGGTCGTAAATATTCGCGGGTTTTCCGTTCATTGATTCGCAAGTTGATTCGGCATTGTTGAGGGTAACATTGGCTAAAACATACACAACTGCTCGGTAGCATTTTTTCTTGTATGTGACGTCACATTTATCTGAAAACATTATTGTGGTCATTGAATATTTTATGTTAAAAATTAAACCGCTTTCAAAACTGACTTCGTGGAATCTGGGATTAAAATGTTCCCATTTGTCTTGGAACAGTGTTTCTCAACCTATGGGTCGAAAATTTTTTGAGTTGCTTGTTTTTTCTACAAAAACCTAAAAGTTACTAATTTTATTTTCTAGTAAATTTATTATTGCTCAGTAATAATTGTATATGTGGGAAGTATCACATCGTAAATACTTGGCATCTGCTATTATTAGTCAGACAGTTGATTTTGTGACCATTCAAGCAATGAGCAATACGTATCGCATAGTATTTGAGCATATCCTTGGGTTGCGAGATTTTGTGAAAAAATTTTTTAAAACATTTCGGTCGAATGAAAATAAGGTTGGGAAACAATGCCTTGAAAGTATTGCGCCAAAGCTTCACATTCTACATTTAATTCGACTGAGCGACAAGGAATGTAATGCTAAAACGGAGAGATTCTGTTGGAAATGTGGTGGCTACCTTCGTATCCATCTCAGTTAGTGAAACAAGGCAGGGCTGAATTAACCATTAAGCGAAATAAGTAAGTGTTGTGGCACAAAGAGAAAAGGCGTAACGCAGAAATTTTTATAGACATTTTTTTAATGGTGCTTCAGTGTTCAATGAAATAATTCGAGTTTGTCAGACGACCCAGACTGCTATTTTGAACGACATAAAAAAGGCACCAAAGACTTGAGTGCTTAGACCTTCTAAACGCCATGTTCCGGCATTTTGAGTTACAGTCTGAAATATGCGACTCCTTGCAAAATATTTAAATAACTTACGTTGTTGCTTCTTTGTGAGACTTTCTTTCATCAGGTTGGCAATCTCTGTAAAAGATGAAATTTGTTTAAACGACGATGCAGGCATTCAAGTCCAAGATAAAAATACCGGGGCACCCGAAGTATGCGAACCAAGATGGCGGACATCGGAATGTAATATGTGTACTAGGTTAGGGTTAGGCCATAATTTTAGGTATAAATACTACGGGAGGCTCTTGGCTAGTCTTCGAACTGATAATAGGACTAAAATAAGGTAAATTGGAAAAAAATTATCGCTTAACCCTAACCTGTTACCCATGTTACGTTCCGATGTCCGCCATTTTGGTTCGCATACTTCGGGAGCACCAAAAATACCATTATTATCAGTCGAAGTTCACTTCACAAAATATGAAGAAACTCATTACAATCATTATATTGCACAAAATTCGCTTCCACTTTTGTAATAGATCTCATCGGTTGTGATCTCAGTTAGGACTTAAAACTGAATTCTACGAATCTCTTTATGATAATAAAAGCGTAGGTAAATCACAATTAGTGCCACTTTGGTATGCGAATGAGGGCATGTCGAGCAATCGCATACCAAAGTGTCAACCAAAAGTTGATGTCGCTAGATGTCTTTAGTTCAGTATCGGTATGGGGACCACCAGCTAATTTCTTATTACACGCACTTGGCGTTGGTAACTCTACAAAGCGTAGGAGTCGTAAATTAATTTATTTTGATTAAACGATTAAAAGGCTTGTTATCATCACGCATTAAACACAAGCTCATATTTTGAGTTAAACTTTAAAGTTATATTGTAAAAATCATTAAATTTATCTCAGATCACTGTGAGTTTTATGTTAGAAAGACGTTGACGAGAGTATTTTCTTAAATAAAACTGTCCGATTTACTGTTTTCGTTAAAATCAAATATGCATAAAGCATAATCAATAAATCAATTTTTTTTTAAATTGAAATATTTATTTAGAAGGAAACATGTCTCGCACTTATCTGGTCTGCCCTTTAAAAAATTTTTTTTTTCAATTTCTTACCAGATCCGTCGCCTTTCTGTGAAATAAAGTTAAATAATGTTAACAAAACATAAGTTTCCAAAATTAGTTCTACAGAATAAGCCAGGTCGAAAAGTTTGAAAGGGTTTTCAATCAACTCCTGATTCCAAACCTACGTTTCCCAAACAGGGAGAATTTTTGTGATGTTTTTTGGAGAAGCAATTCTAATGGAGGTACCGATAGATAAAGTGCGATACCTTTGGGGAAATCGGATTTAATTAGACAAGGTGAAAAGGAATTGGGGTTATAAATTTCATTCTCAAAGTCGAGACATTCGTTTAATCACAGCATTTCATGATTGATAAATAAAGTACTTAGTTTGTAATCATTTTAGTTTTACCTTGCAATCTCCTACAGAGACGAATTTCCCTTTTACTAGTTTAGTGACGCAGACTCCATCTGTAAAATATAAAATAACAATAGATGTTAGTAAACCTAATAGTTGCAGTCTGATATTGCTGCTTGTGGTAGCGGAATTGAGAGGGGCAAAAGATTTTTCGTATTTCACTCGGAGAGAGGAAAGACGATAAAACGCCTTAGTATTATCGCAAACCACGGCCTCTTTTTCGGCTACCAGCCCATGTCGAGTATAGATTAGTTGGCCAGTTACTGTTCCAGATGCATGGACTTGATGGTGGAAGAAGCCGAACCGACCAGCGGCGGGGTCCAGAAATCCTCTTGATAATAATGAAAAGCGAACCAAAAAGAGGATTAGAGGTGCGATGGCTAGCGTATTCATAACGCAAAGATTAAAACAATGCGCCATGTCGCCGAGTTGCATGATGTCGGTTGAAATATTTTACCAGCACTAAGAGTTATAAAGAAATTGCGACTAACGACTCTAACCAGAACCACGACGCCCTAAGTAACACCTATTATATTAAAATTATCCCAAGTCTTACCAGGTAATTTCTTTCCGAACATAGAGCCGATGAAAAAGAAAAGGCAGAATACTTTGACAAAAATCATATTTGACTTCTGAATTAGCCTGCTGAATGCTTAAGTGTAGAATGTCTGTAAGGTAACAAGAAGGATCAAATTTATTAACTGTTCAGCTTGTACAGGATGGCCCCAAAAACAGGACTCATAAATTTTTCATGGCTCATTACAAATATGAACGGATGCAAGTCTCTTTACAAAACCAGGACATTTGAAACATATTCTACTTTGAAAACCACGTTCGTGCAAACCGTCCTGTATTTCTGAAACTTCGGGGGTATAACCATACACAAAGTGAACGCATGTTCAAGTATGAACAAAACTATTTTTTTCAAGTTTTATAAAAAGTTTCCTTCGTTATCGTAGAAGTAATTTATGTTTTTTGACCACTCTGTATATGTTACTGAGTAAAGAAAGTGAATGAAGTGGAGTCGAGATTGGGACATGCCCACTCAACACACTCTGGCAGCAAACTACCCAGTCCCGAATTGCAACAATGTCAGGGTGTGTTTTCGTCGCGAAACGATATCTATCTATATGTAAGGAGATCTACTGTTTACGAGAAGACACAGAACCGTTTGAGCATCGACACCAAAATCAATACAGGTGGTAAGCATGGAAACCGAATATTAGGTGAGTAAACTGCGATGTTATCATATTTACTATATTTTACGAACCCCAAGACGCACCTCAAATCTATTTCCAAAATCTATCGTGCACTCTACACTCAAGAGAAGCATCGGTACCGGATGCGTATTATAGCCCAGTGCCCTGACGGATGGAAAAAAAAATTAAGCAATTTATTGACAGGTGCATCATATGAAATACACATGCTCTCTCGATTTAACCAATGACAAGATGCAACCGAGGTCACTCCCCCGCACTTTATAATACCAATATCCAGAGTAGGATACGTATTCCAAACGCTAGCGCTATGAAATATATACGCGCCCTTATGATTTCCGGTTGTCAGACCAAAATCTTCGAATTGCGTGTATCGAGATCACCATAAGATATGATACACGTATGTCCTTGGGCCAGATACATGCAGCCAATAATATCTGACTCTATCTCAAACAATCCATAGACAGACTTAATTCAGTAATCAAGCTGAACAAGTTTGTCCTCATTTTTAATGTTTTATAATCGTGGTCTATCTATAGCACCTTTTCTATTCAATGCCCAGTCCTGCCACTGGTACATGAAAAGCTGTTATTTATTGGAAGAACAAGTAATATATCCGATTCTCCCCAATTTATTACACCCTTGGTGAGGTGGGGGGCATGGGATTTAAACCTGAGACTAATCAACTGCGATGTTATCACAGTTATCGTATCTTACGAACCATGAGGCAATATTTTTCATTTAAGAATCGATCGTGCTTCTCTGTTCAGATCAGTGGTTCCCAAACTTTTTTGACAATCGCCCCCCCCCCCCCCCCCCCCCCCCCCCCCATAGTAGTTTATACAACTTCATCGCCACCCGGCAATACAAAAAATATAAAGTCAGAAACGAATATATCACAGACCAAATAAGAAGACAAATCGTAGTTTATAGTGTTTTTTAATGAAATAGATGAGCTTGGTGTTCTTCAGTGAGTTTTTTATTGTATCTTAAATTACCCCGTTTACTGGTGAAAATGCAATTTCGTTGTTTTGATAGCAATAGTAATGCACACAGATTACAGAATTAAGTGCGCCGAACATAAAAGAGGTTTCGCGAAATCGCCCCCCTATCGCCCCCTTCGACTTTTTCGCCCCCCTCTGTATCGTTTTCGCCCACTGGGGGGCGATATCGCCCACTTTGGGAATCACTGGTTTAGATCACGTAGTGCTTCGTTGCCTACAATCAAAACAAGCACCAATACCTGTTGCGTCTCATAGTCCAGTGACGAATACGTATGGAAAAATTCTAGAAATATATTGACAATGTGCCTGATAATCCGGTGCACATTATGAACACACGTAATATTGCTATGCATAGGTCATGCCCTCCCAACGACAAAATGCAACCTATGCCATGCTTTCCAGTTGAACCAATGACATTCAAGCCTGCCTCTCCCGCACTATAATGATTTTTTATTATGACATAATAAGATGCTCACTCGCGCCTGTCGCCCTGAACAAGGTCAGATAAAGCGGCAACCGATATCCGATTTTTATCTTGAATATTCTCTCCACAGTCTTACTCACTGTCGAAGTACTCCAAGCTAGACAAGTTTATGTTTAACAGTAAATGCCGCAAAATTGCTTTTCAGGAAAACATACCGTGTTTCCCCGAAAATGAGACAGGTTTTATTTCAATTTTTTTTTTCGGAAAAATAACACTAGAACCTATTTTTGAGGGATGTCTTCTACTTTCATTTATGAAAAACAAAGTATAATATTACGAGATTTTCAAATATACAAAATATGAAAACCGATATCCATTTACTTATAAATAAAACGTTTTAATTTCAAATAATTGCAAAACATAGATCAATAATCATTTAAAACGTCTATATAGGAAGGATATTTTGCTATAAACTAGGTTTAAAAAAATTCGCGCCATCGACTACGTCTTATTTTTGAAAATAGGGTTTGTTGAAAATATTTTATTATTTTGGAAGGAGGGTGGGGGTTTGACGTCACGCGTTGGATGTTTCTGTTTTTCTAGTCTTGTTCATTTTGTTCTCGGCCTAACCAGACTTACAAACTTTTCAAGTCAATTTTGAGAAAAATCATTATTATTTTATTTTTAAACATAGACTTGTATAAAGTAATTTATAATAAAAATTATGCTTTGACATCTTAATCATTGGTGTTCATTAATGTTATGCTCCTTTGTCGCTTTTGGCGGACTAACCTGGAGTCGAACCATGAGCTTCTAACCTACACTTTAAGCGTGATGATACTACAAGATTAAAAACTAGTTCATCTTCTATTGCAGGAATTCTCAATGACACATTTGTGAAATTTGCGAACGCACAATATTCGTCGAATAACATTGACTCTCGAATTTGAATGTAAACTTACGAACTCCTGGTCTGAGTTGACGGAACTCCAGGTGCCGCGGAACTCTGGTTGAAAACCACTGCCTTACAGGTTCACTCCTAATGACAACGAATTATTTGTCGAAACGTTTTCTCTATTTATAACTCTATTATTGATATTTTCTATGCTATACACCTGCATGACGTAACATCCTTAGTAAATCGTGGCAACCTATGTCATGACCCCTCCCCCACACGACGTAATAACAACACTCATAACAGCATTTGTTAGGATATCCGAGATATAGGGTGTCCATGAAATCTTAAAAAAAGTGCAAAAGGAATTTATTGATATCATATATTGTTTTGGCCCTCACAAATGTATTAAAAGAAGTAAAAATACTTGAACAATTACTGACTAAAAACAACAAACCTGGTTAGGATATATTGAGACTGACTTCATAACAAAATTAGAATTGTGAAGGGACTCTATGTACACCATGTGTATTCACAAACCTAACCCAGGATAGTGATATAAGTGTACCAAAGAGGGAAATGAAATTGTTTCGAGGAACCTGGAAAATCATACATACTACATTAATAATATTATTCCCAGCGATATATTAATACTCAGGGAGATATATATTCCAATCGCTATGAAATATATACGCGGCCTTTGTGATTTCCGATTGGTCGATCACTTCCTGAAGTCGAGAAACGACAAATTTTTTGCACCTAGAGCATATTAATAACATGTAATAACTAATAGTCCTATCACTGGTTCGACGGATGCGTTGGATTGTGCTAAACTAAACATCAGAACAGGATTTCAACTTTGTTCGGTATAGTACTACACGTCAAGCTGTAGGCAGCCAAAAATTATATTTTTTGAGGGAGGAGGGGGAATTTAATTTTTTAATATGACGTAATACAGCTGATTCGGGACTTTAGAAACCCGGCTCGGTGCTTTCTCAGTCTAGAAAGCGGGTATTTTTCTCCCGAAGTGATGCGTTTATTTTTATTTATTTGTAAACAATGAAAATGCGGTAATTAAAAATGAGTGCATTTTGGATCGTGTTTTATTTTTTAAAATGTGATTGAAAGTTTTCGAGAATTTTGAATGAACCTATAAATACAAAGTAACTAAAGCATGCTCTCCCTGTTTAACTAACTCGCCCCAACTTAGTCTCAGCGACTTTCCAATTTATAGCTATTATTACCTTACAGTTACGACAGCGCACATTGATATTACTTAGTGCCGAACGCTGCCTTCGCAAAATTGAATCAACGGTGAATATTTTTTTTATTAGTCAGCAAGTGGTATGTATGACTTTATATTGTACTTCAAGTTCGTGTTTTGCTCATAGAACGGTTTCGAATCTTTCAAAACTGTTGTTTTTTCGGGGCACACTTCCTACCTCAGTTTTTCTATTCATATTCTTCTATGTCTGCGTTACTCCCAACTAACGATAGGCGCGTTCTACAAACCACTGGCATGTGATTTCGTTTACACTAATTACCACAAAACAATAGCCTACAACAGCCATTGTTACAACATACATCCGTGCGCATACAAATATATAAATTTATGAACATTTTTATTAGTCGCAAAAAAATTGTTTGCTGGACGCATTTTGCCGATCACTGTCTCACAGTTTCACTACAAACAATAACGAATTATTTGTCGAAACGGTTTCTCTTCGTAAAACCCTATTATTAATATTCTCTATGCATCTGCATGACGTAACATCCTTAGTAAACCGCTGCAACCTAGGTCATGCCCCCTTCCCTCACACGATGTAATAACAACGCTTATAACGGTGTTTGTTAGGCTATCGAAGATATAGGATGTCCATAAGTCCTAAAATATTTTATATTTTGCAAAGGGAGTTCATCGATACTCTCGTCCAGTTACCAGTACCGTGTTGGGTCATATTAGACAGTAGGTTTGGGGAGAGAATCTCGATATATTGTTCTAAGTGTAATCTGTGAACGAGGGTAGATTCAACGCTGGTTTCATTCGCTTCTCCAATAACTGACTCACTGGTTAAGAACAAGAACGAAGAAACCCAAAAATGATCGAATCAATGTTTATTATCATGTT